AGGAATACCTGAAGAGCCATAAAACCCAATACTCGGGTCTCACCAAAGAGTTGCCAAAAAATGTTCACTTATTAACGTTAGAGCAGTGGAAGGGGTCGTCATATTTGCTACGATTGGAGCACTTCTACCAACAAAACGAATCGCAAACTCTGTCCAAACCGGTAACCCTTGACCTCAAAGACCTCTTCACACCGTTTGTGGTGACGGCAGCAGTGGAGACGACATTGAGTGCCACTCAAGACAAGAAGACAGCGAAACGATTGCAATTCAAATCAAACGCCGAAACGAATCGTTTTGAACCGAAAAGAGTGGACTTCTCTGCGGACGACCTCTCAGTCACTCTCAACCCAATGGAAATCAGGACTTTTATTATCACTGTTCACAACCGATAAATAGTTAACATTGATCTATAAAATTAAAAATAAAATTATTGCATTAACCGTATAAATAAATTCACACGAGTTTCAAACTCCAATAATATTTGCCCTCGCAAAAATTTATTATGATTAAATGTACTCTAGGTGTTAAAAGCATATAAATACTCAAATGGTATTAAATTTAATGCTGATTATGTGACAGGTTAATTCTGTGCAAATAATGTACAAATATTTTAAAGATATTTTTGTTATAATTAATTAGTTTTAATCCATTTTAAAATAGTATTTGAAACTTACTTTTTGAATGATACCACATTACAGTAATACTAAGTTATCTTTATCTTAAATAACTGTTAAGTTATGATTTAAAAATTAAATAATTTATTGATAGTAATCATCTAAACTTGTTTAATTACATATAGAGATACGGTATTAATATGCCCGTAAATTGCACCTAAAGTATTGCATACTACTGTAAAAATATCATAATTATATTACGGATAACGGCTGACAATCATTTTGATAGTAATGTCAACTAATATCATGTTTTATCAATTAAATGTATAACTATTTTGATGGTTTTTAAAATATATAAACAATGACTTACAAGAAAACTTAACTAATTAAAACAATATGATCAAGCATATATCTCGAGCACTTGTGGCTTTATTAGCAATGGGAGCGGTAGTTCTCTGCCGGCCCTCCCCACTGGAGCCGACCAAATGCGACAACAGTCACTGTCCACAAGTGGACCCCAAGATGTTGAACATACATCTGGTGCCACACACTCACGATGACGTCGGATGGCTCAAGACTGTCGACCAATACTTCTATGGCTCGCGAACTAACATTCAAAAGGCAGGCGTTCAGTATATCATCGATTCTGTGGTGCAGTCTCTGCTGAGGAATGAGACTCGAAAGTTCATATACGTTGAAACGGCATTCTTCTGGAAGTGGTGGAAACTACAGACACCTGAACTCCAGGAGAAGGTCAAGAAGTTGGTTAACGATGGTATGATTTCTTATAGTTTTAAATTATTAAATCTAATTGACTACAGTATATATTATGTGATACATAAAATTATCATTCACTAAATTAATAAAATTAATATGATTAATATTTATTGAAATTAATATTAAAATTTATACTCCAGGTCAATTGGAGTTCATAAACGGTGGCTGGTGCATGAATGATGAGGCGGCTGCACACTACCAGTCCATTGTGGATCAGATGACATGGGGTCACCGGCGTCTACAGGACACGTTTGGCACGTGTGGTATACCTAAGATCGGGTGGCAGATCGACCCCTTTGGTCACAGTCGAGAACAGGCGTCCCTTTTCGCACAGATAGGCTTTGATGGTCTGTTTCTACAGCGTCTGGATTATGACGACCAGAATAAGAGAAAGGCTGAGAAGAGGATGGAGTTGATATGGCAGGGAAGTGATGACTTGGGAAGTGCTGCCNCCTTTTCGCACAGATAGGCTTTGATGGTCTGTTTCTACAGCGTCTGGATTATGACGACCAGAATAAGAGAAAGGCTGAGAAGAGGATGGAGTTGATATGGCAGGGAAGTGATGACTTGGGAAGTGCTGCCGATATGTTCACACACGCCATGGAAATGGGTTACGGTATGTGTCAAAATTAATATTTAAAAATTTATAAAATTATTATGAAATATGCAAGATTTCTTTATCAATGATCACTATATTGCAAATATGAATACAGGTCCACCATCGGGGTTAAATTGGGAGTTAGCTGGTAATAGCTTCAATCAGGGTAATGATGATCCTATTATAGATGATCCTGAATCTGAAGATTATAATGTGGATAAAACTGTTGATTGGTTTATAAATTATGCGAAACAGTATTCAAATAACTACGCTACTAATAACATACTGTTCCCAATGGGAACCGACTTCTACTACCAGTCGGCTGAACCTTATTTTAAGAATATGGATAAACTTATCAAATATGTGAACGAAAGGAAAGCCAAGGGGTCCAACATTAACGCATTTTACTCCACTCCTACCTGTTATATGCATGGCATACATCTCTCTAACTATACTTTTACCACAAAAAAGGACGACTTCTTCCCCTATGCGACGGCTCCGCACTCTTTCTTCACGGGATATTTCACGAGTAGACCCGCTTTGAAACGATATGAAAAAGTGGGCAATAATTTCCTTCAAACCTGTAAACAGTTGGATGTCTTAAGTCTTGGAAACGGGAAGAATGAAGAAAAGATGACGGCTTTGAGGGAATGGATGGGTGTTTTGCAACATCACGACGCTATCACTGGTACAGAGAGCCAACATGTCGCCGATAATTACGCTCTTATTCTGTATAAAAGTATAGAAAAATGCAAATCAGTTGTCAATCAGTCACTGAATACATTGATTGCAAAATCTGATCCGACATTAAATCAATTATTTTGTAACGCTTTGAATGTGAGCGCCTGTGCTGTCACTGAAGGCACTGATAATCTGGCGGTTACTATATATAACCCTTTCGGACATAATGTCAATCCAGTTATCAGACTACCCGTCACTACAAAGAATTATAAAGTGTTGGATCCAAAGGGAAAAGATGTCAAATCAGATATCGTTCCCATTCCTCCGGCTGTACTGAATTTGGCGGAAAGGGTTAGTAAAGCAAAGGATGAACTTGTGTTTAAGGCCGAATTACCTGCACTTGGATTCGCTACTTATTTGTTGAAAGCAAACGGACCACAGAATGGAGTAAATGAAGCGAAAGTGACTAAAATAACGGAAGCTTTTAATATAAAATCTAAATCTTTAAACATTTTATTCGACAAAACGGGTGCTTTGAATGCAATTCAGTTAAAGGATGGAAAAGTAGTTGATTTTAAGCAGAACTTTGAGTACTATAAGGCTCACGATGACCATTCAGGGGAAGACCATCAACCATCTGGAGCTTATATATTACGATCAGATGGTGACACACCTGTTATCTATGAAACAGGACTTCAATCAGAATTAGTTGAGACATCAGACGCTAAAGAAGTTTATCAGAAAGTGAATGAATACATATCACAAGTCATAAGAATTTCCGAAAATAGTGATGTCATTGAACTGGACTTCACTGTCGGACCCATTCCTGTAGACAACAAGATCGGCAAAGAGATTATCTCTCGATGGGAGACAAACCTCACCACAAATGGTCTCTTTTATACCGACGCCAATGGACGACAACTTCTGGAGCGAAAGCGTGACTTCAGGCCGACGTGGAAACTGACTGTCAATGAAGAGATCGCCGGAAACTACTATCCCGTCAACAGTCGTATTGCTATGAAAGATGTCAAACAAGACATTCAAATGACTGTTTTGAACGACAGATCACAGGGAGGATCGAGTATTAAAGACGGAAGCGTTGAGCTTATGGTTCATAGAAGAGATCTTTTTGATGATGTATTTGGTGTCGCAGAAGCACTCAATGAGCCGGGATTTGATGGAAAGGGTCTCCAAATTATGGGTAAATTTTGGATTCACTTCACGAGTATAGCCGAAGCGGCCGAAGCGCACAGAGAGACGGCATTTGATATCCTTATGGAGCCGTCCCTTACTTTTGCCAAATATAGCGGTTCTGAAGAGGAATACCTGAAGAGCCATAAAACCCAATACTCGGGTCTCACCAAAGAGTTGCCAAAAAATGTTCACTTATTAACGTTAGAGCAGTGGAAGGGGTCGTCATATTTGCTACGATTGGAGCACTTCTACCAACAAAACGAATCGCAAACTCTGTCCAAACCGGTAACCCTTGACCTCAAAGACCTCTTCACNATTAACGTTAGAGCAGTGGAAGGGGTCGTCATATTTGCTACGATTGGAGCACTTCTACCAACAAAACGAATCGCAAACTCTGTCCAAACCGGTAACCCTTGACCTCAAAGACCTCTTCACCCCATTTGTGGTGACAAAAGCAGTGGAGACGACATTGAGTGCGTGAGTTCTGTTCTTCTGTCGCTTTGCTAACGTTAAGTTTAGTTTGCGGCTTTGCTTAGCAAAACTTGGCTTTTCTCACCTCAAGAGACGCCTGCTGGAGAGTCAGTGAGAGTTGGGTTACCTTTAGAGGACTTTTATTATCACTGTTCAGAACCGATAGACTTGTCTTACAGACGACCCAACTATTGAAAGAAATACTTTTGTAATTAAACGTAAAATTCTTAAAACAAAAATTTGTATTTCATTCATAATACTGTGAAAATTTACTTTCTGTTAAATAAAATTCAAACATAAATATCAAAACATGATTTCATTATTAATGCAAAATTACAATCAATTGATGGAAAAATGAAATTTATTTCTGACTTAAAAATGTTTAAAATGATTTCGACTACTATTTTATACAATACTAAAAATATGTTTAAAGCAAACGTTGACTTATGGTATGAATATATAGTCACAAAAAATGAATTCAGTTATAATCGGTGTATAAATGCGGACAAAAAATAAGTTATGAAAAGGAGTTTATGTTATAATCATACTTAACATAAGTTAGACTGCGAATAATAAGTCAGAGGTAAGCGGTGCTTAGGTCTAGAAATAGGTTTAGGAGAACTCAATGCAATTCAGAAACAGCCGGCGGAGGCGGAGGTGCGGGTGGTGGCGCTCCACCGCCGCGCCCTCCGCCCCCACGACCTCTACTAAACCCACCGGAGCTCTCATTCTCTTCATTCATTTTAGCGCCAATTACTCGTATTCTCATCGGACGGCCTAAAGGGACGGCATATTGTGTTGAGACAAATATTCACCAAAAAAGACAGCGATTCTGTTGGTCAGGCGCTGCTCACATACCGTCGAGGGGAACGCCATTGTACTGATCCATTGCTTTGATGGCATCAAACTTCAACTCAAACAAGAGCTCAGCCGTGCCTAAGGAGCGCCCGTATTGATCGTAATGAACGGTCGACTTCTTGAGCGGTCCGAAGCTGGCGAACAACTCAAACAAGTCCTCATCGGTCACAGTGTAGGCCAGGTTTGACACGTGTAGGCGACACGTGAGGGCCGACCCTTTACGCTGCAGCCACGCGCCGGTACCCCCGCCGCCAACCGACTGTCTACTGCCGCCACCGCTGAACCTCCTGTTCCCCCGTTGCTGTCCACCACTCGAGTTGAATCGTCCGCTGAATGAGCGCTTGAACTGAGTCCTCGACTTCTGCTGCAGACCACTGCCACCACCGCCTCCTCCGGTGCCACCCCTTCGGGCGCCTCCTCTGCCGCGACCTCTGCCTCCGCCTCGGATGCGATCCCTTTTGATGATGTCGTCCAAAGACATGTCAATCTTTTCGGCCATTATTTCCGGTGATTAGATGACGATCGACGGATCAATTGAGTGACTGTCTTGTGGTGTCGAGTCTTGAGTTCATACAAAACACTATTACTTTCATCATTACATACAAAACGACATTTGAATAGAGGTTTGACTTTTGAAAAACAAAATACAATTGAAATGAAATCATAAATGAAACGCCAATTCAACTCAAATCTCGTAAGCGTTTCGTAAACAACGGCATTGTTTTCAATGCAATCATAAAGAGTGTAATCAATGAATGAATGAATGAATAAAACATTACTTTTGAGGTATCAGTGAAACAGTGAATTCACAGCACTTTGTATGCGAACTGAGCGTCGATTCAGCGGTCAATTGGGAACCACTGTTGAGGTGTTCACTGCAATAGCGGTCACAACCAAGCGATGAATCAAATGTCACACGAATTTCAAACACAATTCAATGCAATCCTATCCGCAAATGCTTTCATTCAGTGAACGCTAACTCTCGCGTCAATTACGGCCACAAAACTAATCAATACTTTTCTGTCTCATAATTAGCCCCCGTTTTGGCATTTTATAACTTTTAATAAATAATTATTGTCCAGTTTACTGATTTATGATATTTTCCTTGTTCAAATTGTTTCATCAAGTTTCATCTTTATAGGTTTCTATAACATTGCCATTTTATTTGATCAAGTTTAATGTGCTTCAGTAACGTAATATACTGGATAATGATAGCGTCAAATACCGCAATAACCCACGTATTGTAGAGTTAAAGTTATGCTAACTATAGTGAACGACTTATTAAATAAAATTATTATGCCAAATTAGAAATATTAAAATTAATAAATATATTTTTAATTAAAGTATGTTTTATATTTTTGCAAACATATAATTTATTTCATATGTATCTAACCATTAATAGCTTGTGTAGTGTATATCGGGCGTAGACTGTAGTGATAGATGAATGTGTGATAAACATTAACAGTATTTTTGAAATCAACTCAACTCTCAATGCATTCATTTGTGTTATCATTGATTCACTCATTCATGCAATTCATTAGTCACTCAATCACTGAAACGATAGACTATTTAATAGGACTTCGTTTGTAAAACACGTTTGCATTGTCTCTCGTATAACACATCCACTGAACACGTGTTGTCTGCGAGAGCTGTGGACAGCAGTGACCGATAGCTGGTCCGCGATGGCCAAGAATAATAGCCGGCAAACGGGTGGTCAACAGTGTCCACTGCACAAAGTGATCATGGTCGGATCCGGTGGGGTCGGCAAGTCTGCGCTCACACTCCAGTTCATGTACGACGAGGTATGTCATCCGTGGTATACCACCACCGGCTACAGGTGCCGGTCATTGCACTGCCATCTCTAACTGTAATGATTTGTTTTCGCCACCGATTGTGTGGCGATTGGCCATCGCGTGGATCAGTTCATCGAGGACTACGAGCCGACGAAAGCGGACTCGTATCGCAAGAAAGTGGTTCTCGATGGCGATGAGGTGCAGATCGACATCCTGGA